GTGCTAGCTCCTACATACAGCTCTTTTTTAAAGTTAATTTTGGCTACAATATGAGAAGAAAAATTAATTTTTACATGGTCTATTAGTTTTTCTATTGCAATGGTAAACATCACAACCAAAAGCAACATGGGGAGGAAAAAGTTCATTTCATCTTATAGCCTACAGTCTCTCATGAAGGAAAGTCAGGACAGGAATCCAGGGGCAAAACCTACAGCAGAGGCCATGGAGCAGTAATGCTTACTGGCTTACTCTCCATGGTTTGCTCAAGCTGCTTTCATATACTACCCCGGGACACCTGCCAGGTAAGGCATCACCCACAATGGCCTTGGTCCTCCCACATCAATCATCAATCAAGAAAATGCCTCATAAGGTTTGTCTACATGGCAATCTGTTAGAGACGATTTGTCACTTGAAGTTCTGTCTTCCCAGATGACAAGGGCTTAGGTCAAATTGACAAAAGCAAGCAGGTAAACACACAAACAAAACCTAGTAACTAGCACGTGTGGATATTCTGTCGCCCCTGAACAATCTGTTGAAAACCTGGTCTCTATCCTCAGAATAGTTTACCATCCTAGTTTAAAAACCTTTGACCAGGGACTGTGAAGTTTATCCTTGGATTCTGAATTCTATCATCTAATCTTTAAGATCTCTCCTAAGGTCAAGATCATACAGTTTTTATTTCTGTAGCTCTATACATCTTTTCATAGCAAGAAGTACTAATTATCTAACTCTGCTTCTTCTCTTTTCAAGATTGCTCTAACTATTCGGAATCCTATACATTTAAACATGAAATACAAAGTTCTAGCTTATTAACTTTTGCAAAACAGACTAGAATTTTGATAAGGGTTTCGCTGAACTGATAGAGCATTTGAGAAGTGCTGTTGTCCTAACCACAGTGTCTACCAAGACATGAACATGAGGGCTTCTTCCCCCTTTCAGAGGTCTTCTTTAATTTCCTGCAATAATGTTTAATTCTTAGTGTGAAAGTATTTTCTGTCATTAAAATCTAGCATTTAGAGAAGAACCAATAATACCTAAACCTTTATTTTCAATACGTTACCAAATAAAATCATTTAAAAAATAAAAATAATCTACAAAGTATCTTTTATTTAATGTTAACTAAAATACTGAGAATGATGATATTTTCAAAGCTGGAGCCAACACCATAAGTACAGAAATATGTAAAGAATGGTGCTTATACCGGAAGACCTAAAAACACATGGGGGTTATCCATGAAGCTCAGAGGAGTATGAGGAAGACACTAACAGTAAAAATAAGGACTCAAATACTGTGCCATAACAGGAGCCACCTAGTCTTTTTTAACTTATGAGTAGAGACACCTAAGCCCCATAAGGGAAACATAACAAAACACCATGACCAAGGCAGCTTCAACAAGAAAGCATTTAATTTGGGGCTCACAATTCCAGAGCATTAGAGTACATGGCCATCATGGGTAGGGGAGCCTGGCAGCAGACAGCCAGGCAGTCATAGAGTTGGAGCAATAGTTAAGAGTTTATATCTGGGGACAACTGCTTCCACAAGGCAGGGAGAAAGACACTAGGAATGATATGGGCTTTTGAAACCTCAAAGCCCACCCCTAAAGACACACCTCCTGCAACAAGGCCATACCTCATAACCCTTTCCAGAACAGTTCCACTGCCTGCAGAGAAAGCATCCAAACACATGAGCCTGCAGAAGCCATCCACATTCAAATAAACCAGCACTGGATTTGACACGGGCCTTAGTATGCATTCTATAATAATAGATCAAAGTTTAACTAATTTTTGAACAGTGTTATGCAAATTTAGATATTAGTCAATTTCAAATGATTCTAACAGTCTGATGTGGTGACACATGCCTTTCATCTCAACCCTTGTGAGAATGGATCTCTGTGAATTTGAAGGCAGTCTGGTCTACAGAGGAAGTTTCCAGGCCAGCCAGGACTACATGGTGAGATCCTGTCCCAAAAGCAAATCACTCTAAAAATAATAAATCACATTAGATTTTATGTTTCCTATTTGAGTTTCATTATAATAACAAATATTTGACACCAGAAAATATTTATTTAAGGCCAGCACATACTGCAACCCATAGGCAGTAACTTCCAATACCTGTTACAAATGCCAACTGCCGTAGTAAGATGCTAAGCACACTCCTCTATCCCTGCATAGGTCATTCAGCAAACACTCATGGTGCTCAGCACTCCTCCTCCTCAGCAAGCATGCTTCCCAGAGCTTTGGAGTGACTTAACTATCCAGAAGGGAAGGTCCTGGTATGCTAAGAATTGCATCCCCTCCAAATCTCAGGAGTCAGAGATGGAACATCCTCCTCCAGTCCTCCAACAGGCATAGAAAGCCAAAGAAACATCTAAGTCCCTCAGTATAAAGCTGTGGGTGCAGAGCTGTAGGAATACAATAGAGTGAAGTTGCCAGGGGAGGCAAACAGGTGCAAATCTTAATGCAGATTGCAAGGGTGGAGCAATTCAGACTGGAGAAAAGGGTGGCCTCTTGCCCTCTTGTTCTGAAAACAGGGCCTTTCCTCGAGCAGCACTGGCTCTTGCTCTTTATCACCTCAGTGTAGGTCTTCTTTGACAAGCTCCTAATTAACAAAAACTTCCTCCTTATCACAACATAACGAACAGGTAACTGACAGTTCATTCATCTAAGCAATTGCCCAGCGAATACAATCCAAGAAGACAGAACAAACACTGCTGTCTATGTATGAATGGGGGGGGGGGGTAAGGAGATATGATAGGCTGCCAACACCTGCATCAGATGATACCCAGGATTTGCCACAGAACCTTGCTTCTCCCAGTTCCAACCCAATCAGCTCTGATAGTGTGTTGTAGAGGGCCACACATCCATATGCTCACACTTCCATATACTCATAGCCATATAATTGCCATGTGCATAGCAGCAAAGAAGACACACCCGCAAGTCAACATCAGGATATGGGCTTTTCAGGAAAAGAAAATCAGTAGCAACCCCAAATTAGATGTTTTTTAAAAATCTGATTGATGGACACATTTAATGACTGACTAATAGAAGGGACTAGCTATACTCCATGAGTCAGTCTGCCACTATTCATATATATAATAAGATGCTAACAGGTACAAAACAAGCATTACATGCTACTTGACAAACCATATCCATCCTTTCATATTCTCTCTCCCTATGTCAATTTCTGTGCTATAATAGCCAAGGAAGTCAGCTACCTATTACACAGGTCATATAGCTACAAGGCAAGCACTTGCCCCTAGAGGAAAAGTCTACCGACTTCTAGAATAAACCATCAGTACCACAGGCTGTCAGCAAAGAGTGGTCCCAACCTATCATGTGAAAGCACAACTAAATCACTACCACCACCTTATCCATGAGCTCTCTTTTTAGATGTAAATTGACTTTTCCAATTTGTACACTTCGTACTTTGGGGTAACACAATGACAATACCATCATCATATACTGGTGTAAGTACAGAAACACTTATGCACATCTAAGTCAGCTTGAAAGGATAATATGTGTGAAGACAGCACTAATGTAACTCATTGAGTTACTAAAATTGAGAACATAAAGATGGGAGGAACATGTTGGGAATGTTCTGAGAGAGACAGAACAGAAGCAGGGTGCATATGATCAGGACATACCTTATAAATATATGAAAAAGTCAAATTAATAAAATGTAAAGAAAATATTGTAAAAGTAAGCTTGGCAATGAGTTATAGTACTGCAGAATGGTATACAAAGTTGTTAGCACACAGGAAACTACTACAATGCCATTATTCTCAAATGTAGTAATTTATAATCATCACAGTCATGGCATTTCTTTTGTAGGGTTCATGGGTCTAAACCATCTTATGATTTATGCTGGCTTTCTTCCATCCCACATATTTTCCCTCCATGAGTGCCAAGAGGCACTCATTTTTTCCTTTTCTTCTCATCTGCTGAAGAGTCTGAACTCCAGTGGAACAAACCAGGGAAGTCAGAAGCAGACTGTAAAGGCTCATAAGAGGTTTCTCAAAGTGTGTGGGAGAGGGTATACCCTATGTATTCATAAACTCTAGATAGAGAGGAAGATTCCAGAAGCAACATGAAGACACTAGGATCTATAATGCCAGAGACCTAATGCCCCAGATCCATAACAGAAAGGGCAGAAAGGAAACAGATGGGAAATACTATTGAGGGAGAAGCAACTGAACTGAATCGTTCTGTCAACTGACATGGAAGATGGCTGCTTTGGTTGACTCCTGTTTGTTAGAACTGTTTGGCATCCTTCCTTGTAGAAAATGACACTGTGAGGGAATCTGGAGCATTCTAAGCTCCTTCAATTCACTGTTTTATTTTTCTTTGAGTATGTACATGTAGAAAGTAATATAGGCTGTGGAGGCAAGGGTCAAAAGTGGGACTCATATCTACCCCTAGTTTCTCAATGTAACATAGGGCATCATCTCTAATTTTAGGATTTTTATGATAATTGTAGACAGAGGAAAAAATGTATGTTGCATTTGCAGAAGCAGGCAATTCATACACAGCAAAAGTTACTACCAGCGTAATACTAGAACTTCTTGGCTATGAATAATGAATGTGAAGACAATACTATAAAAGGGTTTAGTTAGCAGAGTTTGGTCTTGACAGGTGTGGTGATACATGCCTATAACCCTGGCTCTACAGAGGATGAGGTAGGACAATCATGAGCTTCGGGAAAGCTTGGGCTATACAGCAAGACCTATCTTAAAATAAAAGTAATAACAATAATAACAGTAATGACAGTAATGGTAACAACATAAGTTTATTTGGAAGTCTCTGGGGCTCATCATACACCACTGAAAAAGAATGATGTTATTTAGTTTTCTGAAATAAAGAGCTTTGAAGTGATTTTGTTTACGAGATGTACAGTGGAAGCCATCTTCAAAAGCCCTTTGAAAACAGTGTCTACAGCAACTGATTATACTTTTAGCTTTGGAAGCCTAATTTTCTCCTCGTTCCTCATTTTTGTGCTTTAAGGAATACAGGCACCAATAAGCAACTGCAGTGAAGCATGCATCCAGGTGAGGTCCTAATGGGATACCGACCGAGGATGCTACTCCTGTGGATCTCGAGCTGAGGGGCCTTGTGAAGTACAACCAGAGAGTGGGGAAACAGGTGGCATATGAATTTCTGCATCCAAAATGCAAACTGAATTTAAAATATGAAGGAACAAATGCATTTCTTTTCTCCTCCTCTTCCTCTTCAACATTTGATAATGTCTAAGACGAAAGAACAATAGGATTTCCTCAGAGTGCAGAAGATGCCAATCACATACACTGAAGCCTGGTGGCAGTGGAAGCAATTTAGTGTTGTGTGTGAGTGTGTGTGTGTGTGTGTGTGATATCTATATTATAGGTATATAATTTATAAAGCTGGCTATTAGGTGCATGCAGTGGATTCAAGCTAACCTGTAAAGGAATTACCCTGAAGCAGAACTCATTTGAAATGCCTGCCCTCTGGGGAATCACCTCTACTTTGGTTTAAATGCTGACAATTTAAAAACAGCGTTCACCTCACAATGAATTGATGTGTGAGTCAGGGGGAATGACACTAAGCCCCTTTAGCACGGAATTTTCTTCTTAGAATATTTACATATAATGTAGCAAGAAAACAGAAATACACAGCCCTTGTGAGTTACCTATCCACACAGTGAAAAACTCTGACTTTTAATACAACTGAAGAGAAGTGGCTGGAAAGCCTACAGGTAATCAGAAAGCTTTCCTTCTACACGTGTGTAGGTGGAAAACCTCTGCTGCTCTATATCCCATGTAACAGGGGAGTCAAAGACATTTTAATGTAGAGCTGAGAACGATTCCATTCTTCATAAGGTTTTAAAAACTCTCTGGGGGTTTAGAAAATCAATGCCACATTTATTTAAAGTGGTGCTGAATGAAAGAGCTTCCTAAATCCATCACCATGACTAAGAAAGCCAATTGGCTACAGCTCCACTCACTGCCCCACATCCTTCAATGGCAGGACACCAGTGGCCTTCCTTCTGTTTCAATGCACGCTTTACCATGATGGGTGCATATAACAGCCAAGAGGCTTTGAAAGTTCAGGGAATATTGCAACAATCTTTAGAATTTTAGATATAGAACTGTCATCACTACCAATATGCAGAAAGTCATGGGTCATCTTCCTAAGAAACTGCCAGCATTTGTTTCAATTTATGTAATTTATGCAACCTATGACCATGTTGTGGAGAGGACTGTTATCCTCTCGGGGCAGCAGATGACAACTGCAAGGAGCTTTTCACCACAAGGTCATCATTCAAGATTGGATTTCTAAAGAAGCTACAAAACAATTGCTATCAAGTCACGATATTGGCCCTCCCTGCAAATGCCTCTAGGTGAAATATGAATTGCTAAAATGGTCATGCACAACATCAGTTCACTGAAAGAGAAAATGATTTACAGGAAGACTTATGACCTAACTGCAAAATTACTGAAGACAAAAAAGAGAGAGAGAGATGCAGCCACCTGCTCCTGACAACAATAATCATGACCTCAAAGAGCTGGAGAGAAATCAAAATGAACTCATGGGGGAAATGCACAATAAATGTCTCCGCAATTCCACATTCTTCCTTTCTAGGCTAGGGCCTACACTCCCTCACTCGAAGCAAAACACACAGCCAACAATGACCACTTCAATGAGTTCACAAACGGATAAAATTTAAGTCTTGATGGCTTGGATATTTTGGTGGTACGTTGGATGCAGCATCACCTGATTCTAGGGACTAGGTAAACACCTGCACCATATTTCACCCTGGAAGACTCCCCAAGGGGCTCCTTCCCATGTACACTGATATTAAGGTTTTAGCTCAGTGGTACAGTGCTTAGCTAGACTGTGTGAGGCTTTGTGTTCCACCTCCAGCAATGCCAACAGATAAATCAATGGTTGACTCGATCAATAAATGTGAAGTCATATTTATTAAGCATATAAAACAAATATATTACACTGACATTTATTTATATTGATATTTTAGTGTTTCAAGTACAAGGCTAGTTTTCTAGCTTATATTCTAAGTTCATATATTTATTTTCATATGGAGGCCTTATTTCACACCCTGAAGATTGAACCTATGTCACAAGCGATTCATTTCACTGAGTTGTAAAAGTGCACTATCCCCTGACTGATCATCTCCAGGGGCTGCTTACCTCGCTTCTTTCCTCTGTCTGCACAGCACTGAAGCTATCCCAACAACCACCTTGCTCCACACCATGCCTTCCATGGCTTCCTATAATAATGTGCCCATCACACTTTGTATGTTTCTATAGAAAAGGAAGCCTTTACTTAAACACATTCCTTGTTCCAGCTCTGATCCCATCTTGACACCCACCATCAGTCTGAGACCCCTCTGATTGCCCATGTCATCACAGAATGGCACTGGTAGCCTCTGCATTCCTTTCACTGCCTCCCAGGAATAGACATCTTATCCTCAGCAAAAGACATGGACATGGGACTTAGAAAGTCACCAGAGCCCATCAGACAAGGTAGCAGACAGCATTCAATACTAGAAATTCTTCCTTAAAACGGTCTTCCAGGTAATTAAACAGGTAAAGGCGCTTGCCACGAAGCTTGGAACAAACATGGTAGAAAAGGAGAACTTATTCCCATTTGTCCTCTGACCTACACATACACATGCAAACACCATGGGATATACACACTCACAAATACACACACTAAATGAATATATGCATAAATAAATGTCATTTTTTTAGAAAGATTGCCTTCCAAGGAATTCAATCTCTTGTTGGCTGGTTGTATTTCCCTTGTTATGGGAGAAACTTATTACCTTATAAACTAAGGCCCCAGACACACTTTGATTTTCTTACAGCATCTTCTGAGTGCTAGGTACGTGATCTCCCATTGTTCTCCCTTCCTGATGCTGAGATCCTTTAATGCGGTTCCTCACACTGTGGTGACCCCTAACTGCAAAATTATTTTTTAGTACCTCATAATTGTATTTTTCTACTGTTATGAATTGTAATATGAGTGTCTGTGTTTCTGATGGTTTTAGGCAACCCCTGTGAAAGGATCACTCGGCTCCCAAAAGGGGTTGAGACCCACAGGTTGGTAACCAGTGTGCTAAAGCGGGGGTTCTTGACTATTGGAAAACACATTTCTGTTGGTTAGGAAATGAGATACTTCTCAATAGAAAATTGCAGTTATGAAGTAGCACTAAAAATAAATTTATGGTTAGGGGTTCCTAAGACCATCAGCAATATGTGTTTTCTGATGGTCATGACCCACAGGTTGAGAATGGCTGGCTTAAATGTTAGGCTTAAACTCACATGACCAAGAAAAACAAAGTGTGTGTGTGTGTGTGTGTGTGTGTGTGTGTGTGTGTGTGTATGTGTGTGTGTGTACATGTATATACAATAGATGCTATGGAACCAAACCTAAACATAATTGCGCTACCAGGTACCATGAAAACTGAAGTCCCATGTCCAAAGAAAAATTTCCTCCTAAAAAATTAAGGTACCTCATCATTTCCCTAACCTTTTGAACATCTAAATTGTTTGGGACACTGTCAAGGTTTGTCCTCCAGTCGTCTGTACTCTATCACCCTCAGCTTCCAAGTTTGCAATCAGAGTTCACACTTCACAACCCCCAGGGTCCGTGGACAGATGAATGGGCCATGTCCCAACACCATGGTTAATCATCTCTGAGCCAGGAAATTTCTATTATTTTAAAGTTAGCTGTTAACTAGGGAGAGACAGAGGACCAAGGCCTAGGTTTGTTAAGTCTGCACTGGTCCCCATTTCCCAAACACAGTCTGGTGCCTAGATGTTACAGTGCTACTGCTTCTGAAGACATGTTTGCCATGCTCAAGTTTCTTTTCATCCATTTTCAACTAACAGAAGCAAACATATATCGAATATATTCAAGGACTACTTGTGATGTTTCACTGCATATATACACTGGGATGAACTTTTAAACTAAGCAAGATGACAGTACCTCACATACTGCAAATCCAGAGATGGGCTCATCTCATTACTTACTAAGTTTGGAAGATTCAAACACGAAATAAGCCTTAGTACATTATATTACAATGTGAGTTTAAGAATCTGTCCAAATATATATGTCTAAGGCAACGATGGGAGATGGCAAATTTGTATCTATTCTCCACAAATGATGTGCTCTTTGGCTTCTAAAAATCAGTGGCCAAAAAAGGAAGCACATGGAGATAACTGCGGTCACAGGGACTCAAGCTTCTCCAGAGTCCTTTTGGTTACACATTCCCAGTGGTCATGAAACTCAATCAGTATGCACTGTCAGAAATGCACAGCTCAAGGAGAAATATCTGTAAGCAGTCCAAATGAAGCTATACGCAAGTTGGGCACGGTGGAACGCACCTACATTCCTAGCACTCAGGAAGTATAGGCAAGAAGATCAAGAGCTCAAGGTCAGCATATGGGTGAGTTCAAGGTCACCCTAGGCTAAATAATGAGTTCTAGGCCATTGCGGGCTGGGGGCTGTGTGAAACATGATCTCAAAAAATACAAAAACCAAAACAAAACTGGAACAAAAACTTTTTAACTTGTGCTTAATACTTTATAGTAAAAATCAAAAACATTCTTGCCTCTGGAAGAGTTCTTATTAGCTAGTAAACACATAAATTCTACAGAGCACTTAGATAGCCCTAATATTTTGAGTTTCCCAACCCAATCACATAGAATTAGCACATAGATTTCAAGTGCACTGATTATTAAAAAAAACTCATATTTCATTTGAGGTACTACAGGGAGGAATTCAGACCAGAAAAAATAAGTTATTTGTTATCTAAATCGGTATTTTTAAATAGTCCTTTTTAGAATGGACACAGTGCTGCAGTTAAAAGAGATAATCTTGTGCAGAAAGTCTCCTTGTTTTGCACTGAGGTGTTTCTTTCCAGACACCAGCAGACACCCAACAGATGTTTGCTAAGTGTTTAGAAACAAATCTAGCAGTAGCAGGGGCACAGGCCTGAGCAAGGAGGCAGTGGCGACTGACTGCGCCTCAACACACACAAAGGCAAATCCAGCACACTCATTTCTGTCAGTGTACCTCGGATACTGTGGGAAGAAAGTGACCTTCAGCTCTGCCAAAAATGGGAGCAATAGGACTTGACAACACCCAATGCTTGTGTTTGACAAATACCGACACCATCACAGGGGTGGGTGTCATTTTCTCTAGAATGAAACATAACATGTGCGCCCATATGAATTGCCAACTAATCCAGAACAAAATCAAAGTTGAGACATTTTAAATACAAATTTGAAAACAGCAAATTGAGCATGCTAATTGCTATTGCTCCAAAAGGTGTCTCAATTGCCTTATTATTATATTATTTTTATTATATGGTTTTTATTACTTGTAATAAATTGTCATATTATTTTAAAAGTTAAATACATGTATTTTTGCCTGGCTATATGCACAAAGTCATGCTAAGCAATACTAAGATAATTTCATTTCTAAATAAAGCACAGTGTGTTCTCCTCCTCATGCAGTGGGACATACACATACCTGAGCTGATTTCCTTCTCCTCCTCCTCGATGTTGTTTCTGATGCTGTCATACTCCTCATCAATAGTCTGATTGCCACGCATCTGAGACAAAATTCTGCGGGCCTTCTGAGTCTGTCCTTTCTGAATAAGCCACCGAGGGCTTTCAGGCAAAAAGAGAAATCCAAGAAACTGTATAACAGCTGGAATTGTGGCAAGTCCCAGCATGTACCTGCAACAAGAAATATATCAACACTGTGAAACTGTTCTAGAACACTGAGTACATATTCACTGTGGAGACTAACAGCACGGAGTGCACACTTACTTACCAGAGTCTAAAAACACTGTGTGATCACTCTCTAGAGCCAAGGCTCTCACCCTTCCTGATGTTGTGACCCTTTAATACAGTTCCTCATGTTGTGGTGACCCCAACCATAAAATTATTTTCATTGATACTTCATAACTGTAATTTTGCTACTTTTATGAATCATAATGTAAATATCTGTTTTGTGCACATAATTCTCTATACTTTGCTACTTCCTATTAAACCCCAGAGTAAAATATTTTTATAAGTTTAAAAGAAATAGAAGAGAAGTGTACCACAAATAAATAAAAGACCCAGTGACTGATATTGGGATTTAAGCTTCAAGCTAAAGAGCTGGGAAGCAAAGCAGCTGGCCACTAACTTCTCACCTCTACCTCAAGCTGAATGGGCGAGTCCTATCTCCACGAGCTCTCACTAGCCCCAGACTGTCACCTCTCCTCGGTGTGGCTGGAGAACTAACACCTCTATTGAATACTGAAGATCCTGCTTCTATTTTTTTATACTCCTCTAGTGCTAGGATTAAAGGTGTGTGATCTGTTACTCTTTTGGATTGATTCAATCTCATGCATCCATCTATCTTTTTTCAAATAGAAATTTTTATTTAAATTAAAAAATCTTTTTGTATATAGCAATCCCAGTTCCCTCTCCCTTCCATCCTCCCATGTCCCCCAACAATCTCCCATCCTACCCCCCATGGGAGATCATCAAAGTCTGTCACATCATTTGGGGCAAGACCTAGGCCCTGCCCTTTATCGAAGCTGAGACAGTATCCCTCCATGGTGGAATGGGCTCCCAAAGTCCTTTCATGCACTAGGGATACATTCTGGTTTCACTGCCAGAGGATCCATAGACTGCCCAAGCCCTGCAAATGGCACTCACTCTCATAGGGCCTGGTTGGATCTTACTCTGGTTCCCCAGTTGTCTGACTGGGGTCTGTGAGCTCCCACTTGCTCAGGTCAGCTGTTTCTGTGGGTTCCCCCAGCATAGTCTTGACCCCTTTGCTCACCACTACTCCCTCTCTACTACTGGATTCCAGGAGTTCTGCTCAGTGTTTAGCTGTGAGTCTCTGCTTCTACTTCCATCAGCTGCTGGATGAAGGCTCTAGGATGGCATTTAAGGTAGTCATTAATCTTGTTATAGGGGAAGGGCACTTAAGGTAGCCTCTCTACTGTTGCTCAGATTCTTAGTTGGGATCATCCTTGTGGACCCCTGGACATTTCCCTAGTGCCAGATTTCTCGTTAAATCTATAATGGCTCCATCTATTAAGGTATCTTTCTTCTCTATTCTTCCCCCAACTCTATCTTCTGGTCCTTCATGTTTCCTCCCTCTCCCCTTCTCTCCTTCTCTTTCTCCTCCCTCCATTCCCCTCCCCCATGCTCCCAATTTAGGGAATTCTGGAAATAGAAAATCTGGGTTAATGATCAGGAACTACAGATGCAAGCATAACCAAAAGAATACAAGACATGGAAGAGAGAATCTCAGGCATTGAAGATACACTAGAGGAAATAGATTCATCTACCAAAGAAAATCTTAAATCCAACAAATCATTTAACACAAAACATCCAGGAAATATGGGACACCATGAAAAGACCAAACCTAAGAATAATAAGTATAGAAGAAGGCAAAGAAACTCAGCTAAAAGGGGCAGAAACATATTCAACAAGATCATAGAAGAAAACTTTCCCAACCTAAAGAAAGACATGCCTACAAAAGTGCAAGAAGCTTACAGAACACCAAATAGACAGGACCACAAAAATGTCCCCTCACCACACACACAGAATAAAGAAGAATATTAAAGATCAGCAAAGGAAAAAGGCCAAATAACATATAAATGTAGACCTATCAGAATTACACCTGACTTCTCAGTGGAAACTCTGAAAGCCAGAAGGTCCTGGACAGATGTTCTACAAACACTAAGAGACCACAGATGCCAGCCCAGACTACCATACCCAGGAAAGACTTCAATCACTACAGATGGATAAAACAAGATATTCCATGACAATACCAGATTTAAACAATACATATCCACAGATCCATCTATCTTTTAATCCTGAGTTCTAGGATTAGAAGTGTGTACCACCGCCTCCTAGCTTCTGGCTGCTGGGATTAAAGGTGTGTGTCACCACTGCCTGATCTCTATAGCTTGAGGCTGACTTTGCTTTTCTGAATCATAAATAGTATATCATTACAGAGAAGCAAACAAACATAACAAGAAGGGAGAAAGAAAACAACATGAACCCACATGTAAGTGGGCTCCAGAAGCCAGAATGCTTTAGACCCAGATCCCAGATGTAAGACTCTTAAGCCTGTACAGTGGGAGGAGAGTGACCTGCACCCCTGCCAGTCTTTCCCTTTGCAAAGACTAGTCCAGAAAACTGAAAATACTGTACACACTGACATTTGACACTTACTTTCTAAAAATAAGAGAAGGAAGATGTTTAGTCTAGTTTAACTATCCTTGCTGATAAAATATATTCTAACAGAAGAAAATCAATAGCTTTGTAGAAACCCACTGCACAGGATGGGTGAGTAGCTGTGACATATAAGTAAGAAAAAGAGATTGGATTCTATTTTATACTATGGTTTTACTAAGTGCCCCCCTAAACATATAGGTCAGTAGCTGGTTGTGCTATTGGGTGGTGGTGAAACCTTCAAGAGGCAAAGAAGATCTAGAAGCGTGGCATAAGGACCTTATTCGCTCAACAAGCAAACAGGTTAGGTTCTAGAAGCATGATCTTCAAAGGGCTGCTTCTTGTCTATGTGCTTCTCAGCTGCCAAGAGGTCAGCATCTGTTCCTGCCACATGCCAGTATGTGGTTCCCACCATCACTTTCTGTCAAAGGCTAGCTGATCTGGAACTGAGACCTCCAAATCAGACCCATTTCTCCTTGTAAGTTAATTATCTCAAGTATCTGGTTACCATAGCTGGAGGCTGGTTAACATAGTCCATGTGCTCTAACCACAAGACTCCCCTGTCACGTCACTTATCTATGCACCCAGGGCAGTGTCCCATTCCCTAGCACCACTGAGAGCAGTGTATGAAAGCAGTCTCTAGATTACTTAGCAGAGAGGATGCTCAGACAAAGTGTTTCACCTCTTTGGAGTGTCTAACCTTGTGAGCAATCCCACATAGATCTGTTGTAGCCCAAATCTTCCCCCAATCTCCAGCAGGTAGAACTATCTAATATCTTTTTCTGGGAGAAAATTACTCTTCTAAAAAGATGTACATTGGTGAGCAGGAAGGATTGCTGTTACACTGATGAAAGAAAGTTAACCTAAGATAAAGAAGCAGAGAACCATAAATTTAGCTAATCTGTATCAAAGGGTGTCTGATATGGGATGTCCTTCTGTATGCTGTGAATATGTGTTGCTTTTTTTTTGGTTGATGAATAAAGCTGTTTTGGCCAATGGCCATCAGAATATAACTGGATGGGAAATTCAAACAAAGATATAGAGAGAAAGAAGGCAGAGTCAGGGAAATGACATGTAGCCACTGAAGGGATAAGATGCCAGAACCTTCATTGTAAACCATGGTCACGTGGTGATACACAGATTAGTAAATATGGGTTATTTTAATTGTGAGAGCTAGTCAATAATATGCCTGAGCCATTGACTAAACAATTATAATTAATATTAAGCCTTAGAATGGTTATTTGGGAACTGGTGGGCGGGATGAGAAACCTCTCACTACAGGTGTCAAATTTCAAATCCCTAGAATTCGAGAACCAGATGAACAGCAAGAATTCCTGTGATAAACTAAGATAGGCCACCCCTAGCAACCAGGAAGCCTTATTAGTACAAGCTAAAGCAAGGGTTCTGGATCCAGGATTCACAGGTGAGTCCACCAGGGGGCATTTTAAATACACCAGTGGCTAAGCTCTACCTTCCCCAGGGGTTGTGATTAATTGGTCTGGGCTCTGAGCCCAGAGAATTCTATTTCATTAAAAGCTCTCCAGGGTGGTTCTAATGTGTAGTTGACGCCAAGAACCGCAGATCTAAACATTTTAAAATCCCAGTGGTAAAAATGAACAACAAACACCCGGGATCTCAGAGAAAAGTCATTTATCTTTGGGAGGTAAAAAGGTGCCACAGGCTGATAAGGGAAAAACTGGCAGACTCTAGGAAAAAAAAAAAAGGAAGTATCAATGACTTTTTAAACTTCAAAATATTCTTAACATCACAGTAAGATACCTTTTAAAATACACCGACCTTGACTTTGACATTAACAGGGTCACAGCTAGTGGTACAACCATAACATGAAGGATGGAGCAGACTCTGGGGCGGGGAGGGTGGTGTGCGATGCTTCCAGATGTTGTCAGCTAAGTAGAACAACCCAGAGTAAGCTTACTTCTCAGTTCCAAAAGAATGATTTCTCTGAGAACTCTAAATCCTTCCCTGCTGGGCCCCTGCTGCCCCACAGTGGCTCAGCTGGTCAGATGCCCTCCAGCCAAGATCATCTTACAGGCCCTTCACAGAATCACACCATTGATTCAAAGGCATTCCACTGCTCCTACCTGTGCAACCGCAGAACCTTCTGACAGGAGGCCATTTAAGGCACAGGATTCTGCAGTACACAGTAACCAGTTCCTTCTACAAACTAGGATGTGGTTTAATTAGCATGCTCCATAGTCTCTGTCATTCCAAATACATGAAGACCTACTTAAATGTGCACACTCAGCTGGTTCACAGAATGCTTTACAATAATAATAAGAGCTGACAAAAGACACCAGCTATTTGTCAAGCACTGTTCAAAAGACTCCAAGATATAGGATATCTACCATCTTCAGGACAATCCTAGGACCTTCATAGCATTATCACCCTCACTTTACAGATTAAGACTGAAGCCACTAAATGGGACTGAATGCATTACACATTTTGTGACAGACATGAGCCCATAGAAGCCAAGG